AAAGTAACAGGAGGAGGGAGCTCTTAAAGAAAAAACCCCTTTATGTGGGGTATGAATCTTTTCTTGAAGAAAACAATGTCTGAGAAATCATTAATTACAAAATATGCTTCAACAAATATCTTACCTGGTAAGGCCAACTTTCAGTAAGTTGTGTAATCTAGACTAGCTGGCCAGTTCATACATTTGACAAGTTGACACCAGGCATGTTGGTAAATTTGTGCGCTTCAACATCACATTACAATTTACCTGTAGTAGCGTTGGTCAACCGAAAACAGCATAATTTGGTTAATTAATTTACACTGTACATTATTTGATTAGATATTGGTGTATATCGTTGCACACCAACAGATGACTATTTTGTTAAATACCCGTCAATAATTTCCTGGTTGATTGAAATATATTCTTCTGCAAAAGAAGCACTTGTCAACATCAATATTAAAAGATGAATGGCCTACATTCAACTCTTTATAGTGTTTAAATTTTGACTGTTTCTTTGGTATTTCCGTTGAAACATAACGGGGTTAGGTCTTGTAGTCGAGAGCCTTTTTTGGAGGATTTATCGTACCATTATATTTCACACGAATTCTTGTCTCTGTATTCCAACATGATTCACAATTTCTGGTGTTTATTTCGTAGTAATATCGATGTTGTTGGTTTGCTAACATTATTTTCTTACTTTTTGCATTATTTTGCCGTTCATTCGGTTTTATGAATTTAAAAATAAGCAAACCACAACGACAAAAACAACGAGTACAATGGCTGTGTAAGCGTGATTTACAATTCTTTGTTCATTTATTTGCCGTTCTTCACAAAACAACAACATGAAAAGGCCACAGTATACGGCGGGCAATTGTTAAAATTCCTTTCGAATTTTGACCCTGTCTTACATATTCTCTTTGGGATATTTCTGACAGTGATAGACAAACTGAATAAATCTAAATTCTCGCCAGATTCGCAGGTTGAATATAAAGCCTATATTTAATCGACGTTGTCTTTGGTGTTGTTGCCGTTGTTGCTTAACCTGCCTTTTGCTGCTTGGGTGGCGAGCTTCTGCCTGCATTTTAGACCATCTGTTTGCTCGGTTGCCTAGCGTTTTTGGGCGTTTGTTCACTTGTTTTCTACTCATTTCTCTGCTGTTCGTTCAGTTGTTATTGTTTGCGCAGTGGATATCTGACTCTTATTTTAATTCCTGTTAAAGTTTCGAAATATCGCATGTCGAGGGTCAAAGCTCCTTTGCTTGTAATTAAAATATCAAAGAAGACATCCCCACAGCGTTGGAGGTTTTCCTTCTTTTTGAAACGAAACGGAACGGAACGAAACACAAACAAATCACGCTAGAAAACATCCACGCAACGCGCGAGTAACATCCTCGGTAGGACTGGGTGCCACGTCCAAAAATAACTTAAGAGCAGCTTGCTCTAACGGTCACCTGCACCCCATGCAGGATAAAAAAAAAAAAAGATTTTCTCATACTTTGTCAAGAAGAATATTTTCTACTCACTTATTTTAAAACTGTAACTTTGAAGTCGTTTGGATTTCTACTTTCTTGTCGACTGCGGCGCGTCTTTCGTATTTTGCCCCGACAAGAAGAAAACTCGACCCCAAAATGATACATTTTACCAACGCTAGCAGGGCAAAATAATAAGGAGGCTAAAAAAAAAGCTAACCAAGGGTACTAAAACATTATCTTTTAGCAATTATTTAAGCGTCGTCAGAAATTTAACTTCTTAAAATATTTCCTTTTTTTCCACAGTTCTCGTTTTATCGTAAATATTTTTCCTGGATCTCCAATATGGAGGCTGATTTGCACTGGGTTTTCCTTTAAGCATACAGATCTGAATTGTAATCAGGTTTTTATGACAAATTTTTAATTGAGCACAACTGCTGATATTTGAACAACTCACACCCAAAAGTAATGAATATATATATTTTTTTTACCATTCGCCATATATGGACAGGCACAAATGAACCTCTATTTAGATGACACTTTTCGTACTGATCAACAATACTTGCAAAAAATTTGCATCTTTGACAAAATTTCATGTTGCTATGCTATTATGTTTCTGCTTCGAATGAAAATAACTTAGTATTCAACTGAACTTCCACCTGCTTTTTAAAAATTTCAATGGAGGATCATTCTTGTCCCTGTAATAACTAGTACAGAGTTGCAAGAATCACGTTCCTTACAAAACCAAGACTTTTGTTCCAATTGCAATTTACTTCAGCATAGTTACACTTATCGTTAATATATCGATCGATGCAGTATGTGTTCTTTTTAACTGTCTAATTCCTGTTTGATGTTTGAGGAAATTAATTCTACAATTCCACTGCATTAATAAAGTTGCTCATGTCATGAGTTGCAGATGTCAGAACCGAAACATGTCATGTGAAAGATTAGCTCCTGATGATTGGTCTCTTGATCGGTGAAAAATAAACTACAAATGTAACCACGATGTGCGATTTGCTCCTCAGTCTCACATAGTGCAGATTACAGAACTCCACTCTCTCTTATCCAGTAACCGTTAGACGTTTTTGTCGGCAAAGTTTACTCCGCGTTTTAATCATTCAGAGAAAGCTAAAAATGAATATCACAACAGCAGCAGCTACCAATAGCTCAGAGAACGCGACTGGTTCATCAAGAAGTGTCCCTTCCAAGGCAGAAGCCGTCGCATTGTGCGCCGCTTTTATTTTGTCATTTGTATTTATTGTTGTGGGAAACTTGCTCACCCTTGTTCTGTTTACAGTAAACAGGAGCCTTTATAAGAAAAGTTTGTTCCTAGTCATCAATATGGCGTTTGCTGACCTGATGTTAGGAATCCTTTCGCTACCTATCTACATTTACAATGTTGGGAGAAGTTTTCAACTTTGGAACGGTGGTTGGTCGATGTCTTTGTCAATTTTCTACAAGATCGTTGATACCTTTTTCTCGCAAGCGTCGTTAATTTCTGCAGCTTTCATATCTGGCGAGAGATTTTATGCCATTCACTGGCCGTTTAAGCACCGAACACTGTCAATGCGAGCATACCGTATTATGATTTTTACTGTGTGGGCACTGACTCTGCTTATCGCCACCCTCTGGAGTACATCGTTTTTCCTTATTTCCTACAAACGCGCTGTGCATGTTTGGACGCCATACGTCTTGATTCTAATATTCATCATATGTGGTTGTAACATCGGCATTTGGAGAAGGTTTCGACGCGGAAGTATTGCATCACAACAGCAAAACAGAGACTCTCTAAACAAACGATTAACAAAGACCTTAATGTTTGTATCTTTTCTCGTTTCGCTGTCGTGGCTCCCTTTAGTTATTTTCAACTGTTTAATCTATGTCTTTGATGTCCAGATACCATTGAAATATTATCTCCTGGTGAACGTTATAAATTACTCCAACTCGTTTGCAAATCCAGTTGTGTACGCATTGAGAATACCCGAATTTAGAGAAGCCTTGGCGTTGTGCTGTTTAAGAAGGCCAGCGGCGTCAAACATTGAAATAAAATTAAGTAGAAACCAGAAGACTCTTGCTTTGACGCCGGCGACAGAGCTAAGAACACCACGAACAGAGACCAGTGATCTACAACTGGCGTTTGAACAGGAAGTCATGGAAACCGAACTTTAGAAACCCAATGCTGGTGTGGTATATAGCATATATGCTTGAATAATGTTCTTAAGAGTATTGAACATAAATCTGATTTTAAAACTACTGCTATCTTACAATATAATATTTT